CTAGCCACCTGCATCCTTTCCGTGTGGTCGGTAATTTTTTACAGGCAAAATCGCAGGAAAGAATATTGGCCGCGAGGTCATTGCGCTTATTAAATGACTACGGGTTAGAAAACCATGAGTCAAGCAGTTCATGGCTCCCGCGGTTGTGAGTTCTTACGATAATGTAGGTCTCATCAAAAAGGAGGATAAGCTCGGACACGTCCAAATCATCCAACTCCTGAGGCTCTGCCTCAAAGCGTACTTCAGGTTGGACAGAAGAATCTATGTGCAGGCGAAAGTCACCCCGATCGGTTCACCGATTTCGGGGTCATAGCTAAGGCGGTCCTTCAACGGTTGGAATCACCCGTCTTTCGGCAGCACACACCGAAATTCTGGGCTCGTTATGTGGATAAAACCTTTGTCATCACCGAACGAGACTAGATAATGGCACTAAAAACGCACCAACGGCGTCTTCCCGGACATTCAATTTACTACGGAGGAAGAAGCAAACAACCAGCTAGGTTTTCTTCCTGGTCACGTCTGCCGAAAAAAATTTGTTGGCCTAAAACTTAATTGGATTTTAAATGATAGCAGACCTGCATTGCATCTACAACTTCCTCTCTTCCCTCACCCATCTTTGCCAGGTGTCAAGGCAGCTTCAAGAAGACCGGGGGTGGGATCGGACACACCGCCCCTGCGCGTGTCCCCACGCCAAAATGTTCGGTATTTGTTAAGAGCGTGCAACCCCAATAACGCCTGCTATGCTCTGATATGGCTCCCGTGTTGGTCCGGCGTATCTAACACGCTGTCGGCTAAACGGTACTTACAGCAATCATCCAAAAAGTCACAAACGCAATTGCGTACGGGGGATATTTTAATGGGTTGTGATCCACTGTAGCGAACCCGAAGACCCACGCAATTTTTTCGACAGTTATCTGGGACACTAAAGCGAGAAACCGAACCACACCTGCCCCAAATTTTGGCGAGCACTACCGTACATGAAAAACGTCTGGGAGGCCGTTAGCCATCTTCTCACAGAGCTTGGAGTTGGAGTTGCACACCGACAAGAAGCAACTATCAGGCGCCAAGTAGTGGGCCGAAAGACCTGCTGCCACAGAAAGAAACGTCTGCAGTCGTTTGGCGATTCTGATGCAAGAACGGGCAAAGCAACTACGTCGGAGCACCTAGAAGACTATTCCGCAAACGAATAGTCGAGCCTGCGGCAACGGTGAATAGGAAGGTCGATAGCGCTCAACTCGCGGCTCATGCGATGGGGCTGGGCCACACCCCAAGTTTGATGAGGCCGAAATTCTCGCGAGGGCTGATAACCGCATGAGCCGTGAATTGATTAACTCATGTTTCGCTGGCCCGCAGTCGATTAGTAAGCACAATGACCTCGTGACTCTATATTCTGTCCTGCGATTTTGTCTGCGCCAAATGAGACAAAGGACGCAATGCTAAGGTAAGAAACGTCTGGAGTCGTCTACAGGGTCTGGTGCGGTTGTTGACAAAGCAACTATGTCGAAGAAACGGTGCGGAGACATGATGCCAATTCTCAAGTTCTGGTTCATTCGACGAGACCCAGCAAAACGTTCAAATTTGCACGACGGCGAAACTCTCGCGATAGGTGAAAATCGTGTTAATCATGAGTTATTTGAGTCATGGTTCACAGGCTCCTAGGCTATAAACAAGAGCAAAGACCTGTCCAATCTATATTCGATGTTTAGGCTCAATTTATTCAAAGAAATTCGTCATTTGAGAAACGCACAGACCAACCTATCGTCCAACGCCAATGCCCCAGATGACCGAGCAGTCATCACGTCCAGTTCCACCACGTGGGATGAAAGTTTTGCAGGTCACGACCCGCACGCCGGCCATCAAGCAATTAGCGCTATAGCGGTAGGAGAGTCGTTAATTGTCACAAGTGTGCAGTAGCATAGTGACTTTATCTTGTAAATACTTCACCCCCCTGTGTATGAATAACCCATTTCTGCTATTGTCGCTGATGGTGGCTCCGCGACGGATTTCGAAACGTCAGGCAAATAAAATTATTGTCCCAGCGGTCACATCTACTTTTTTTCGCATGTTCGCTTGTATTAGCTATGTTCATATTGGTCGAAAAACTAGGTGAGCAAGCTGGGAACATTCAGTTGCGGTACGCTCATGCGTGTCAGTAACGCCTTACGATCAGGTACTGCATATACTTCTTTTCTAACGCCTTAACAGTTTGTAAACCTATTACTTTCTTAGGAGAAGAAATGATTAACCAGCTAAAAGCTATGGTCAGCGGCAGCGGCGCCATAATAATCTCTGTAGTCAGAATCAGCTGACATTCGTTAGGTTCTAGTTGCGACTACATGTAGCTGTAAGCTATGAAACAAGTTTTGGCAGACTTCATTGGGAAAACGAACCTTTTGAGCGGGTAATTCTGTCTAATGAAATTTAATATAAAGGTGCAGATTAGTCCCTTTAAATTTAGTTGACCCAATTGACCTTTTCATTGTTTTACTGGCGAATTGGTAGCGATTTCGTTAAACTATTGCGAGGCTCACTACGCAGATCATTTTGGAGTAGTGAGGCTACGTTTATGGCTACAAAACAAAATTCTTACATGTAAAGCGCCTTTCAGGCGTCGCACCAGATCTTGCTTAAATTCTGCCATTCACAAGGAGCTCGAGTGGTTTCACGAAGGAAGAGACAGAAATGGTGGCTGCTGAAGGTGCCGCTTAACTGCCACTAAAGTTCTTTGATATAGTTTATGTAGTGCCTGTCATTTACACAGCTTCCCCCAGAACTACCAATTGTGGGCAATTATCAGTTGTTCACGAATGAATGAAAGCGTTCCCGTTCTAGGTATTTG